TATCATATGTCTTAGCATAGATCTTATGCATGTGCATAAATCTCTTATCTAAGTTTACTAAATATATATATATATTTGCATTAAGAGTGTGGGGAAAAGATTAAATTAAATACAGTGTGTTCAAAATTATGAAAGATAGTATAACTTTGAAAATATTATGATAGTATTTAACTCATAATTTTGCTTTCATGATAGCCTGTCTCAGGACATGAATTTAGATTGCAGAATAAATATTTAATGTTATCTTTTACTTGGAGATGTGGCTGAGCTGAGAGTAAAATATGGTGTCTATTTTTACTCTTTAGAACTCATTTATTTCACGATACAGTTTTAGGGGCCTAGGGAAATACATTAACCCAGTCTTACCAGGAGGGAGGGTGATCTCATTCATTGGTTCCTTATGGGGCCATGGTGCTGCACCGAGAGTTAATTTATTCCATGATACGGTTTTAAAAAAGAAAAAACAGTTTGCTAAGTAATTTAATTTTGTGAAAATCTCTTAAGGGAATGTTTAAAATATTTAAAACTATTTAGAGCTCATTAAATGAACTAAATTCTGTAGTAGGATATTCATCTCTATTGGGTTGTTGAAAAACTCATGACATGGGACCAGCAGTTAGCGTGATGGCTATGTCACTGAACTCCCACGTAGTCGACCACGGTTTGAGTACCAGACCCAGTGGCTTAAAACTCACACTGGTTACGTGTGCATGCGTGCCCAAGATCCCGAGAGAAGAATGGAGGAGAAAGGATTGCGGCATGACCATCCCCTCTGGGGGGTTATTTCTCGCTTTCTGTCTCTATGTCTCTCTCTGTCTGTCTGGCAAGCGCACGTGCCCTATAGCAAAAACCTCTCCAAAAAAAGAAAAAAGAAAAAGTCATTTTTGCATAGAAAAACACATCATGACTTTTCCAACAATCCAATACTTCTAAAACTGAGTCATGAAAGACCTCTACATTACAAGCCTGTATCCTGGAACTCCTGTACTGGGAGGGAATCAATTTATATTTTAGCTTATGTGTGTTATTTTATTAACACATTATTTCTACCAGGATTCTCTAATTCAGTGAGATTTTAAATGTAATGCATTTTTATCCTACTGAAATGTCTTTATCATTTGGGGATATCAGTGTGTCCCATTCTAGAGAAGATATTATGTCTTTTTCAGCTTTTTCTCCATACAGTGTATTAATTTATAAGATTTAAAATATACACACATTCATATCTACAAATAATGGAAATTGTTGTTGTACACTTGCACTGTTCTTCCCTGTTGGAATACAGATTACTTTTGGTAAGTACAAAAGTTGTTCATTGGTAGAGGCAAAGCCCTTGCCAACTTGCCTCTAGGAACAGTTGCTTCTAATGGGACTTATTAGGCACCTGGCAGTTCCAGGAGTGGCTCCCTACTCAGAGATTTGAGCAGAGATGCAAACTGGAATTCAAGAGCACTTCAGACTTCCTATATGATTCATGGAAGTATCATGAAATATCTTTCACTTTTTAAAATACAATTAAGATTTCGGTTTTTTTTTTCTTTGCAATTTTAGGGGACTTATCAACAAAGAAAATATTCCTTCTGGGTTCAACAGCCTGGAGGATTGTATCTTGAATACCCAGGAAGTGGAAAAGTTGCATGAAAATACTTCTGATTATATTGGAGAAAGGAGTAAACCTAAACGTCAAAAATCCAGTATGAAACTGTCTGAGCTCAATGAAAATAAAGATGGGCTTGTGGTGAGTGAATATTTCTATGAAATGTTTACCGGTAGCCAGGGAAGAAATAATAGCACAGCTCTTTTCCTCTCTTTGGAAAGAAAGAAAAAAGAAAGAAAAAGAGAGAGAAAGAAAATTTCAATTTTGAGTTTCACAGAGTTATAGAATATGAGTTTTGAGAGAGAACTAAGCTCCTAAATATCCACATTTGTGCTTTTAAAATAAATATAAAAAGTAAGGCTTGGAAATACTGTCTTCTGTCAAAGGAACAAGAGAGCACGTACTTTGACTGCCATGTTATTTAAATTGGTTTGATTTTTATCTCATTTTTTCTGAGCATTTTAAAACTTAATTTTGAAATAAAACTGTTATGAAACTTTTTTAAAAAACATTTCCCCCACGGGAGCAGCAGTTGGTATAAAAAAACATTTCCCTCATCCTGTCTGTTCTCATCTATATCAATATGTTTTTAAAATTAAAGAATGCCTTAAAGGAAGGTGAAAGAAAAATCTGTGGGGAAAGAGGCTCACTATCTGTGTGTTCAGAAGTTCTTCATGCTCAAAAATATATTTTCTAATATTTCATTTCAGATCTTTATTATTTTTCAAATTTACTTTTTTCCCCAAAAAACAAACTAAATTAATTCCTTACAAAGTTGCTGCCATCCTGAACACCTGGCTCATTAATCTGATACATAAGTTTTTACAAGTGGCTCAGTCAATAACCAAATATTTATTTGGCTTAACAACATTCATCATCCTTTTTCCTTTATGCTTCAATTTCTCTAAAAAGTGAAAAGCAACATCTATCTCCTAATTTCTTTTAGTTTTATATATTATGTGTGTGTGTGTGTGTGTGTGTGTGTGTTATATATAACCTAAGATAAAATTAATAATGTAATATGAACTGGACTCCCTAATAAAAGTGAACAACATCCATTCTTTCTGTTTAGTGTGCAAATCCTCTGATCTGCTTTATGTCTGACAAGTGTTCAGCTTCATGCTGGATTTTTCTAATACATTTAGCAAAACTTGTGGGTCATCACTTTTCCCCTTGTCTATTTCTGCATGTACTAATGGAAAAAAAAAAAAAAAAAACCCGGTTTTGCCCTAAGTAAAATATAGATAAGTGTAAATCCGGACGATGTGTTTATGTAATCCCCCACAATGTCTTGATACTGTTTCTAGAAGTAAACTGATCAACTAAAATGGACAGTAATCATCATTCGCCTCAGATTTATGTCTGGTACAGTTCTCAAAATAAAGAATTTAAGCTTTAAAATAATTACACATTAACTACTTTTTATACATTGATGATTTAATCCTTCTTTTTTGGGAAAAGTAAATTTAAAAAATATGTATACTAACCTCATTATTTATTTGGCCCAGGTTTTACTTATCTTCCAAAGAGATTGATGGTGATTTTTAAGCTTTATAGCTTCAAATGAATCCCTTTTTAATGAACTTTACCCATCCATAATGTTTTCTAGCAGGAGTAGTATCTTAAATGGAGAATGGAGGCGAAGGGATTATGGTGTAGCCGTCCTCCCCTCCCCTTGAGGGGTGATCTCTCACTTTCTGTCTCTCTATCTCTGTCTCTCCAGTGAGCACATATACCCTGTACAAAAATCTCTCAAAAACCAGAAAACATTAGGATGGAAGATCCTCATTCTGTTGGTCTTTGTTATGGGGAAGGATCTCTTCCACCTTGGTCGCAGTCCCCACCTTCCAGGATAGTGTGGGGCACACGCCAACATAAGTGAGCTCAGTGGACCATGTCCTTGTTGTAACAAATAATTTAAAACTCAACCAGCACAACTAAGAAGGAAAACTTCCCTGTCTCTGAAATGAGGGTGTTCTCAAAGACTTTTTCCAACTCTCCCACTCCATGAATTTTAAAATGTCATCTTCACAGGTAACCGCTAAGCAAAGCACTGGGGAACCAAACAATGACTGGCTTTTAGACTGTCTGGAAAGTTAGGTTGGGTATCTTAAATTCTCATTTTAAAAAATAAAGCTTTTTTTTTAACACTTGTTTAATTTCGGGAACCAGCAGTTAGCGTAATGGCTATGTCGCTGGACTCCCACGTAGTTGACCGTGGTTCACGTCTCGGACCCGGTGGCTTAAAACCCACGCCGGGCGCATGTGCGTGCGTGCCCAAGATCCCGAGAGGAGAATGGAGGAGAAGGGATTGCGGTGTGACCATCCCCCCTGGGGGGTGATTTCTCGCTTTCTGTCTCTATGCCTCTCTCTGGCTGGCTGGCGAGCACACGTGCCCTATAACGAAAACCTCTCCAAAAAAAAAAAGAATTGTTTAATTTTATTTATTATTATTATTATTATGGTTATTATTTTTTAATTTACTCTAGAGCATATGTGCTTACCAGATAGGATAGAGGGACAAAGAGAGAGAGAAAGTAAGAAAGCAAGCCACCAGGTCTGGGACTCGGACCACAGTTGGCCATATGGGTGCCCAGTGCTTAAACACCACACCACCTGCTGGCCCCAAATTCTCACTTACATTTAGCCTAATTTTACTTTCTCCAGCTCTTCTCTAAAACCTTTCCCCACCCCATTACAAGTTCTTTATACCCTGGCCACACATTTATGTGGCTAAGAAAAATATTATATATAATTACATGCCTTTTATATGACAGAAAGTATTTTAGAGCCTGGGAATATAGTAGTTAGAACACCAAGCAAAAAGTTCTGCCTTCATAGAGTTTACATTCTAGTGGGGGAAACAGGTAATAATCAAGGTTTATAAGATTTTTTTTTTTTTGAGAGGTTTTTGCTATAGGGCGCATGCACTCACCTGAAAGACAGAGAGACAGAAGGCAAGAAATCACCCCTCAGGGTGATTGGCCACGCTGCAATCCCTTCTCCTCCATTCTCCTCTCGGGATCTTGGGCACACATGCACACGCGCCCGGCGTGAGTTTAAGCCACCGGGTCTGGGACTTGAACCGTAGTCGACTACATGGAAGTCCAGCAACATAGCCATTACCCCAACTGCTGGTCCCCCCCTGTCAGCATTCTTAAGAAGATAGAAATCGGGTTTCTTGAGGCACAATTTACATGCTATAAGATGCATCCTTTTTCGTGTAGTGTTCTGAGTGTTGATAAAGTCACGCAGCTGTAACACCACCATGGTGAAGATACAGACCCTTCCCACCTTCCTCACAGTCCCCATGAGCCGACCCTCCCCTCACCCTGGCCCACTAGGATGGGACCTAATGGAGAAGTGGAAAGGTGTGATCATAAATCATTTTGGCCCAGAGACAGTCTGAGCAGAAACTCAGCTTCTCCCAACTGCCTCCCTCACCTCACACCACGGGGGTGTCCTCACCCTCTGACTGCCACCTGCCTTTCGTGAAAGAAAGGTGAATACTCTCCTCACTTTGTGGGTCAGCCTTGCCATGGAGTCTGCACACCTACTATTCCTCTCCTTCATGCACCATTGAGTAAGGAGACAGCACATTGGCCTCTTAGAATTCTGTTTTCATCAATGAATGTTTAATGTTATTATTCAAGTAGAACTTATCATAGGAATAAAAGTAGTGTAAGCATTAAACCAAACTACAGTAGTCGTGGTGGCAAGGACTAGCGTGTGCCTGTTCCCTGTTCACCTGCTCCACCCTCAGTGTCCAGCATTCTTTCATACTCACTAAAAATGCATTAGAAAGGGGCTGGTAGGTAGCGTGGTGATTGTAGGCACTGGATTCCCACAAGGCCAACCAACCATGGTTCGAGTCCCGAACCTGGCAGCTTGCTTTCTTACTTTCCCTTTCTCTCTCTCTCTCTCTCTCTCTCTCTCTCTCTCTGTTTCTGTCTGGTCAAATTTAAAAATAATAATAACAAATGGAATTAAATAAATAACTATTTTTTTAAAAATGTGTTGGGGAACCAGCAAGTGGCATGGTTAAGGGCGCTGGACTCCCACATGGCCAACTGTGGTTTGAGTCCTGGACCTGGTGGCTTGTTTTCTTACTTTCCCTTTCTCTCTCATTCTCTCTCTCTCTGGTCAAGCCGAAATAGATAGATGATAGATAGATGATAGATAGATAGATAGATAGATAGATGTAGAGATAGATAATAGATAGAGAGATATAGGTAGATATAAATAGATAATAACGTAAAAAAAAAATTCTTAAGAAAAAGCTGTTGGATAAAGCAAGGGAATGAGTGGTGGCCATATTGTTCAGGGTAACCTGTGTAACAGAAGACTCAAAACACGGGGACTGTAAGTAAAATTTCTTTCTCATGTGACAGTCTCTGGTTCCAGGTTGGAGGGAGGAGTAGAGGGCTCACTCATGTAGTGTTTCGGGGACCCAGGCCAGCCGCCTCTCTGCCACCTTCAGCACTGTCTTTCAGAGAACCTGGTGGTTTTCGTCTCCATTCCAGCTCCCAGAAAGAGATGAGCATTGAAGGAGTGTACTTGGTGAGGCATTTCATTGCCCAGGCCTGGGAGACATGTATGACCTCTCTCATGCCATTGGAGAGAAGATAGTCACGTGGTCATATTTGATCCCAAGAGCAGCTGGGAAGTGTGTGGTTACTGGGCCTGCGGCTGCGAATATGGACTAGCTTATACAGTTTTAAACAGAACATAAAATGTACAAAAGGGTACAGCAATCATTAAAGTCTACCATTTATCCTTTGTTAATGAGACTGTGTCAACTATTCTCCTTCTCCTAGAGCTCAAGGTCAGAATAATGAACCTGTTTTGACTAGCAGCATTTCTGCAACCTTCAACTGAGCTGTTTGTACATTGAGAGAAGGCTTTTTTGTTTTTTTACTGTCCTCTATAAAGGCTTTGTCAGCATTTTGCAGTTTTAGAAGACGAATTTGTTTTTACTCCAAGTGTTTTCAAGGGCTAATCAGTGGTCAAACAGGTTTTGAGCCTCGCTTTCAATGCCAACATGGACAAGGGGAGGACTAAAAATAAATCCCACAGTCTAAAGCTAACTTTATTGAGCCTTTTGCTCCTTTAGTTTTGAGGTATTTTTATCATTCAGGAGATGGGTTTTTAAAATGCAGTTCCTGCT